TACAATTCATTATTATTCGGCTTTTTGCGGCGGGTGTCGAAGTCACCAACTGTAACGAAAAAAACACACAATCGTTATTATTCGGCCGTCTACGGCGGGTGTCGAAGTCATCGACTCTGAGAAACAAACATAAAATCGTTATTATTCGGCCTTCAACGGCGTGTGTCAAAGTCACTAAATCCCTGGAGCAAAAATACATTTGTTTTTATTTGGCCTTCTACGGCGGGTGTCGTAGTCACCAACTCCGAAGAAAAACTACTATCGCTATCATTCGGCCTTTCACGGCGGGTGATGAAGTCATCGTCACTGAGGAACAAAAACCAGAAATACAATCGTTAATATTAATATTATTAAAACAAAGGCAAAATTCACACAATAAAACTTTAAAAACACTGACTTGTTTGTTTTGTCCATGAAGCACAATCAATAGCGTTTGTTTGATTAAAACAAATGTTTCTAGTACGTACCATTATTGTAAAGAGCATGCGTATTTGCGTACATAGTAATTTGGTGTGTATATGAAATTAAATATTGACTAATATGACTTGTACACTCAAGTTGTCTATATGGCGTCTTTAAGAGTAGCCTCCCTGCTCCTATATAACAATTTATCCCCTCACAACTTAATATATGCATAATAGCCAAGCGATTGTTTCATATTGTACTGCTGAATATTATCTCCGTTTTATGATTGGCTGACAATATCAGGGAGAGCGCTACTAGACATGTAGTCAAAGCGGGGGAGTCGTCATTTGCGCATGCGGCGGACGGCCGTAGCGCGACGTTGCTTACGAACAAGCGTCTACCCATGACCCTTTTCGTTTTTTATGCGCGTTCATTTGTACTCCCACGCGTGCGCATGTGACGAGCCCCTCCGCGTTAAAACATCACGTACCTCTGTAATGCAAACGCGTCATCCAAGATGGCGGCCCGACTAGAGGCAGTGTACTGCTGAAAATCACGTGAAAGCTGATCTATTATCCAATCCCAGTTGTCGTTTTCGTAATTAACGCGATAGAATCCCGTCAGGTCCTTATTACCCAGAATCCAATTTCCGCTATAATCAGACGTCAATTGAAATGTGACTGTAAATTGAGAGGAAACAACGATTACAACCCTCTGAAATTAAATGTTGTCGTCTGCCAAAAAATAAAGTATCCACATAGTTTGTTTGTATTGTTTCGAACTTCTGGTGAATATCTGAAGATAATGGGAAGGTTTATCCTTAAGATCCAAAAATAACTAAGATTATAGAAAAAAATACACGCAAAAATAGAAAAAAATGTTCAAATGTGATTGTAATAATACCATTGTCTAGTTTCATCCAGTTCTCGCTCAATCTTCTCTCATCTCGCGTGATATGCGTGAAAAGCACATGCCACTTGTAACTAAAAAATAGATAAAAAAAACATAACGTTAACAAGAACACCAAATTTGTCATTGGTGTAACATTGAACACGAAAATGCGCGGTTTCAATCACAAATGAGACACAATCATATTATAAACACCTCGTCCTCCAGCCTCGGATTCACTAATTTTCCCTACCGCAGATGATGACACCTCGTCACTGGCTAGATAATGCCACTTGACGTCATAAGCTCACCTGTATGGACTTGAAGTGTAGTCGACGTCCATGTCGTCTGTTTTGATGACAAAATACTCCTGAGCTACGTGTATCTGACGCATACTTTGGGGTCCACTACGTGACACTGACGTCACTGGGTAACCTTGTTGACGAGTCCAGGTATTCATGGTTTCCTTAATGTCAATACTGTTACCAGTGGCCTACGATGTAAAAATGGTAATGGGGTTGGCTAATAATAACGTTTTCGCAAAAACGAAAATTAACGTGACTTGATATGCTATTGTAACCAGTCAACGAAGTCAAGCAGCTAAGACTTTGAATGGCTTTGTTCAACTTTAATTTTAATATTTTGTTATTCGAACGCTGATTGGTTATTTTTGTTATTCAAACGCTGACTGGTTATTTTTGTTATTCAAACGCTGATTGGTTATTTTTTGTTAATCAAACGCTGATTGGCTGTTTTTATTCAAACGCTGATTGGTTATTTTTGTTATTCAAACGCTGATTGGTTATTTTTTGTTAATCAAACGCTGATTGGCTGTTTTTTATTGAAAAGCTGATTGGTTACTTTATGCTATTCTCGAAGTGTAACATATAACAAATTTGGTTGTTCAGGATTACTTCAAAGTTGAGTTTGTGTTGTTTTCTCAAGTTTTCACCGGCTCCACCGGCGTTCCACAGCAGCTCGCACAGAGCCCATATACTAGTACACATGGTACTATCATGAATTTGTTTACGCGTATCTGTTGACCGACTTAATTAGCTGATTATTAGCTGAATTGCTGTGTTATGTCTGTCATCGTTTAGGCCTATTTGAAGTTTTGGACGGAACTTGGCTCAGTGATTTGGAACTAATTACCAGATAACCGCCGCTTTTTAGACTACTCATTCTGACAGTTTATATCCATAGTTATTAATGTAGTGAACGATTAATCAAAAGATATGACGTATTCAGTACTTAGTGTGATTGGCTTTATGATTGAAGGTTATGCCCTAGAGTCTTTTTACTGCTTTGTAATTGGTTAGAGTTGTGAAAATGAATAAAGAGAGTTTGAGTTGGTCTTGGGGAGCACAGCACGATAGAGGCAGTAGAGAGAGGGTGCAGTCCTGGAGAGTCGAGTCCAGTCCAGGGGCGAGCCTTGAGGCAGTCCAGTCTTGGGCGAGTCTTGGTTCAGCCTTGCGAGAGTCTTGGGGATTTTTTCCCCAGGGCGCTGTATCTTATAGAGTGCTCGATTGACCGACTAAGACGAGAGCTGAAACGTATTTCGTTGTGTGTGCCTTATTTGACTGTAAAGTATAAGTGACTTTCCCGATCCCTTACCTCGAGGGGACGAGATATAGAGACGAGACGAGTTTCCCCCTGACAAGTGTGGAGAACCCCCGAGAGAGAGAAGATTTACCCCTGATAGTACAGTGGCGCGCGTCTTAGCAACGTGGAACGTCTTGTGACGTAGCTCCGCCCCGGAGCGTTGATTGGTTATTTTTTTTTTATCCAAACGCTGATTTTTTATTTTTGTTATGCCGTATTTTAGTAAGTATTTTGCTTCGAAAGTTGAAAGATATCTCTAAATCTTTTAAATGTTTCAAATTTGGTTTGACGTTAACGTTTTCATTTATACTTACTCGATAATCGAAAACTGAAACCCATTACTAAACCCGTCGTTACTCACACACACCTATTCAATATTTCATGGTGATAGTGACGTCATTGTAAAGATGTGCTCCCCTTTAACCAAAATAATCACGCCAACAATATTATTTAGCCTATACCAGTTAGTATTTAATTACCACTTCTGTTGTTGAAGCTAACGAAATGATTTTTTTTATTTCGTTTATTGTTCAGAGTAAGCATCGAACAGGACAGGTAGCCGAGATGACACGGCCAAGGCACGTGACTTGTACTCACCAATGAGAATTCTCGCCATAAGTCATCGACGTCAGCATTGGAATTTGCATATTTAGCCAAGTATGACTGTAAACAAGCAAAGAAACGTGCAATGAATTACATATTGCAAAACACATGGCCCTTTAATACTAATAATTTTAGCGCCATCACACGACCGCCTGGTTTATTATGATTATATGGGCCTTCAAAAAAGGGGAATCATTACAGCATTGCCGTAAGTTGCGCCCTCTAGTGATGAACTGTTTCTATGACGTAAATGAGCGACGCGATATTATTTTGATCTGTAATCTACAAAAAATATATTTTTAGTAGATATGAGAAAACTTTTAGATCCACACCACAAGAGGGCGCTACTTATAAGGAAAAGTGTGTATATCATGCAGTCGCACCCCCTACCTTTACGTACAGATAAATCCGTGATGCATGCGCATTGGGTTTTGTTTCCAGAATTCACCGAATGCACACTGCTATGCTTGCTAACTAAATAAAAGGTTTTAATTTATAAATTTTACGATGATGTTTCCATCAAGATGCAATATCAACATTTGGTTTTAAAATAACTCGACATTACTTCTTCTGTAATCTTCTTTTGAT